TCTGCAGAGGTGTTCAGCAGACTAATAATCTCTGCCACAATTATCCCCAAAGGTACCATATATTTAATGTTTCTGGCAGCCCTCTTTTCCCCACAGTGTCAAATGAAAAGGAATATTAGTGTTCCGAGCTATTAGGAGAGCAGTGAGTGGTTGACAGTGTAGAACTCAAGAGAGCAGACTGGCAATCTCAAACGCTTTGATATTTTTAGGTTTGCAGATGAAGTTTATATTTTGAGAACAGTCCTCTCATCAGGTACAAAATAAATATGTTTTCTGCAATAACAAGCAGAATTTAATAAAGAAAAAAAAACTACAAATGTTATGGCTTTTGCTCTATTTTAGGATAACAAAATAAATTTTAATTGTGGAATATTGTTAGTGGTCATCAGATAAATCACAAAAATAATTAATAATTTGTAAATTATGCGAAGAAATAATAATAAAAATCAAATTACAAACACTAATTTAAAATATATATTTGAATGTGACTCTAGTTAGATTCCATTCTATGTTTAAAGGTTAAAAGGTTATGTTTTTATGCACCTTAATTGAATAATCTGATCATTGTTGTTGTTGGCACAAAAACCTCCAACAGTTCCTACATCTGCTCCTGTTTGGCCTCTTTAGTCCCATCATAAATGCTTGTTTACCCCTCTGCCCTGTCAAAATGAATTACACCTGTCTGCAAAAGCTTCTTCATTTAGATAATTTTATACCACCTTTATTAAAGTGACTCAAACAGATCTCAAACTATAATAATAGTACTATGACCTGTAAAAGGACTTGACTCTACAGATCCATTTCTTGAGATTAATGTTTGTTTTTCTGTATTGATTGTTTTTAAAGCTCTGAAGAATAATTGTCTGCAACTCTCTAAAGAATGGCAAAGTTTAAGAAATAAATCAGTTCCTGAAAGTAAACGTTGTTTGATAGTTAAAATGTTAAACAAATTTGCACTACAGATTTGCAGGTACAGTAAGCATGTGCAACATAATACTCTAAGGCAACTTTCAGCAACTTTTGATACATTCAAATATTTACAAAAAAAATGGAGGCACATCAGGTTAAAGTTTCATCTACACAGAGGATTGAACAAAAGTGAGAAGTGATGCTAAACACCTTGTCACAGATGAGGGTAAATGTACTTTTATCAAAATAAAATAAAACTAAATTTCTACCTCTAAACTAACAGCAGTCCCACAGACGCTCTTGTTTTGGGTACTTTAAATCCCAAGAGCTGGTTTCATATTCCCTGGTCCTTCTGGTTTTCTCACCAGAGGATAAACAATGCCACTGCCAGTTTCTGTGTGTGTTGTGTGAAAGGAGAAGTAGAAGGGATGTGCTCCACTCTCTGCAGCAGATGTTGAGGGAATGGGGGACTAAAATACCAGCGAGGCAAACACATTGAATCAAGTGATTGATGGAGTTTCTGGGAACAGAGTTATGGGTATGCTGCAGCTAAATTTCCCATGCGGTGTAATGACACACAGGTAGACAGATAAACCTCTTTTCAGTTGCATTAAAGACTCCACAATCAAATGCACATAAAAACATTGTACTTCACTTGTCTTTAATTCCATGCTCTCACAAATACATACAGAAAGTACTATCTGCTAATTCTGTCGGACAGTATCCTAAAGCTATTGACCAACCATTAGCAATGTAAGGAATTTGAAGCAGTAACAATGATACTTCATCATTTATAGCATCATCAGAACAGAACACACTGTGTGCAGCTATAGGAGTGACATTTTGGTCTTGTAGTTAAATCAAACATTTATTAAATGTAAAAAAAAAAATAAAAATAGAAATAAATTGTTCCAATGCATTTTATTGATATTAACCATCTTAAAACAGATATAAAAATACATTTTTAAAGTTAAAACAGGTGCAGTTCATATACAATAATCTTGAATCTAGTTTAGTCTTAATCCAGTACATAATGTGATCTTAACCAGTCATTTAAACAGATTAAATCTAGTTAAAGGGAAATTATGATAAGGTCTAAACAAATCAAGAAATTATATGTTTTTTTTTTTTTACAAGTTATCTTTGTAAGATACCCAGCAGATTGCAAAGATGTATTGGTTTTGTGGTGATCCTTTATCTTGAGCAATGGCAGTGGAGAGTATCCATTTCCTTAACATGGAAAGAAACCATCAGGACAGGGCTCAACATTTACAGCTGTCTACCTTGATCAGCTGGGATTAATAAAACATGACGAAAACACATCAAGGAATATAGGAGTATTTTGATGATAGAGGAAAACAAAGAGTAGTCTAATTTTAAGCGAAAGATTAGCCACTTCCTTCATACTGGAGGGAAACCAAGATTAATAAAGAAATACAGAGCCATGAGAGAAAAATTAGGGGACTCATATCTAACAGCAACAAGAACTCTGGCAGTGATTCTGTCCAGGAAGGAAACATAGCTTAACATCAAGGCACTGGGTAGCAGTAGTCGTTCTTCAATTGAAGAAATTAGGGAAGTACATATATGATTAAACTGAATAAATTACAATATTTTTGAAAAGTTCATTAGTTTCAGTGAGCAAGTTTACTAAGTAAAAGGTACTATCTAGACTACCGACACAGAAAATGATTTTCTCAAGCCTTTATTTTAGGTTATTGTGAGGATTTTCCATTTACACTAAATGACATCTAAAATGTTACTATTAAAAAGAGTAACTGAAAAACTGCTTTATCCCAGAAATGTTGGCTAAATTAAAAATATCTTTCTTTCTTTCTTTCTTTCTTAAGGGTTATACTTGTAAATGGTACTTCACATCTCATATGTACACAAGTTACCATGGCGGCACATTCCCCCCCACTTGAAGCCAAACCATCTTTGCGAAACAGACAAAACCTGCAAGTTTTCCAAGCTTTGAAGAAGTTGCGAAGCTAGTAGCTGTTAGACTATGCATGCACATTATAATAATAACTAGTTTTTATTTTTTACAGTTTTCACAAAGTGAAGGACAAATCTAAGCTTCATTAAACTTAAAGGTCATCGCTACAAGTTTAATTCCTCCCGGGCTTTAAGTGTCGCAATCATGTTCATCTGTTCTCATTCCATACTGTTTGCCAGGTGGTTGCTTGGATCAGGTAATGCTAATGTTAACCTTTGGTTGGAATAAGCATACATTTAAATTACCTGTTAAGAAGACACCTCTGAAAGGCTTTTTAGCCCCTTTGCTTTTTTAAGTTCGCACCAAAAAGCAAAAGCTTGACCAATATTTGCTGCTTTGTTTTTGGGCTTGAATCTGTGTAATGTAATGCAGATAAAAAGCCATTTCTCAGTTCTATCTTGGAGCTACTGGAATCTGGCAACGTCTGAACTCCATGTCATGCGTGCTCAACCTACTATTCCTCATGGTACAAAATCCTTTTGTTTTGAGGCATCATACAAAAACTTAAATATCTATATATTTTGGATCTATATTTTGAACTATTACTTATATACCATAAAATATTTGTATTACTTGTAATACTTTTACTCTGAACTGTTATAGATGTTTAGTTTTTGCATTATTTTTTTTGATAAATGTATCTTTTTGATTGAAACAGTTGTGGCTACAACCTTTAACCAATCAATATACAGTAGAAAAAGATAAAGCAGCAATAGCTCTGTTAACAGTTTTATCAAGGATATTCTATTACTGTTCTTATAAGACAAGATATTGCCAAAGAGCAGACAAACACACTGCTGCAACAGATAAAATCACATAAGCCAACACACACATACACCAAGTGTACTTCAATGAAGAACCGCTAATTCATTAACCAGCGATGTGGACAAATTTAATCCAGTAATGTGACTTTCTATTTGTGACATGCATGACCTCAAGAAGCCTAAACAGCCAGATTTTCTGAGAAAGATCTCTAGTGGGAAAGAGAAAGTAGGCAATTGAGGAAAAAAAGAAACATGATGTATTCAGTGTAGAGTCAGAACAATAGTGCAGGTCACTGGCTCAAGCAATTCACTGACTTAACTGGAAAGGACTTTTTGTTCCCAGAAGCAAAGAAGCACACTACCATTATTCATTTAATAGAATTCCTTATATTTTGCTCATATTTGGTGTTTTACAGCTTAGAAGCTGACCGGATTTAGGCTACAAGTCTCGCTGCTATGAACTGGAATAAAACATACAGTTCCTGTAATGATTCCTTATTGGATTTTCTGTAGATCTGTGTGGGAAATATTCATTTTTCTCTGTGGAATTTTAGAAGCATGACAAAACATCTCTGTTTAAATCTTCCATTAGAAGCCTTTGCTTGCTAATGACAGTAAAAAAAAAAAAAAAAAAAAAAAAAAACTCTTGTCAAATAGCTTAATTTTGTTCAAATGATTAAATAAGTAATGGACAGATTTGCTGAAATTTTCAAAGGTGTGTATTTTTACTGGCAACAAATTATTACATTTTGGTTATGATCTAGATCACCATCTGCATCAAGAACTTTTTGAAATATTCTATGAATACTGGTATTACCTAAAGGTGAAAATCATAATATGTCAGGGAAAATTACTTAGCTGGCAGAGGTCTGTGCTCTCCAATGCTTTCTTAGTTTAAAAAAGTTACTTGCCTGATTGTGTTGCACTGTAATTTATGTGCTTTTCTTTTTGCCTTTAGCACATTTTTAATTTCCTATTAATTAGTCTGTTTAATATTGGAATTTTGCCATTCTGAGGTAGAAGATCTTGTCTTTATCACTAAGAATTTTTGACCAGAATCTATTGAAGTCCTGAATCATTTTTCCAGGAGAATTATGCTACAAATCCCCTAATTGGGTGGACAGTCATTGTTGAACTCCTTGTTCTGTAGAACAATGAAAGAAACAAGACCTTTTGATAAAAGATAAAGACAATGTTAGACAGATTAAAGCTATCTGTAGGAGTTTATAAAAATGAAACATTAAGATTGAAATTTTCAAATAATTTCACTATTGTTTAATCTAGTGAATCCTTTGAATTATAATCCCTGTTTTCTTTGTTCCATATAGGTGGGTTGTGCATATCACAGTCAGTGAAAATTCCCCGTGAACCAAGAATAGGAGAGTTCGACAAGATCATTCACAGGCTGAGTGAGAACCCCAACGCTCGAGTGGTCATTATCTTTGCTAATGAGGATGACATCAGGTGAGCAAAGTGAAGGGTAAAAGCCAATGCCGTTTTGATTAACATGATGATTTCCTTCTTATAATTTAGCCATTTTGGGATACTTGCTGTATTGTGTTGCATTCAAAATCAGCTATTTAAAACTGGCATAACGAATTCCCCAACTCACCATATAAGGTGAAATATATATAGATGAATTACTCCCAGACTTTGCTATGAAGCTACAACAAATGAGAAAAAATTTAAGATTAGTTTGTTATCAATCCAGTAAAAAAAACACTTTGGATACAAAAATATGGAATTAATATTTTCTGAAATATTATTTTCAAAAAGGTACTTGTACCTGACAACCAAGCCTTGAGAATACATTTATGCAAAACTGTATTCTAGCCATGCAATTAAAGTCATTCTATTTCTGAATACTTTTGTTTTGATTTGTATGTTTTTCTTTTTAGAATATAATCTGTCTTTTATTCCATTTATGATTTTTATCTTCATTTTGGTAGTTATGGTTCTCAACCCTTAGTTGGCAAGTAAGTCTACTGTATAATCTTACCTATATAGACAAAAGCAAAGCTCCTGCTGTTCTTTTTCAGTTTTGGGGCATAAATATTTGTTGTATTATCAGTTGGTATCAAAGGGGGGTTAACAGGATAGGGTGAGCGAGAAGGTGAGTTTGATGGATCCTCCCTGCATTCACGACCAACAAACTTCCTAGCAGACATGATGCTGAATCTGCTGCGACTGCAAACCCTCTTTCTTTCTTTTTCTTTTTATTTATTCTTTTTTATTTGGATGGGCAGTAAACAGCAGCTAGGTTAATACCGCGATCAAAGGAATCATTTTATCCAGGGCACATTGCTAACCTCCGGACACTGGCTTGTGCACCATTTCACAGGCATGACGCTGCCATGCGTTGTGCATAAGTTAGGCTGTCGTTGGACATACACTCTGGACACGTTATGAATACGCTATGCATTTGTCAAAATAAAAAAGAAAATAGATAGAAAATTCAGCATATGCCAACGTTTTAGAAGATTCTGGGACAACAGGCATACACTGGCTAAATCGGCAAGGTGTGACAAGTTCCCTTACAGCAAACAGTCAGGAGGTCTTTTAATAAGTTTTTTAAACTGGAGAGTTACCAGGATAGTTTAGATGATTTGTGGGTCAGAGGTCCCTGTGCTCACTGTCTTAAACCGATCCTGGTTAGGGGATAATAGACAGGATATATAGTAATTATAAAAAACGAGGGTGATTACAGTGCTTCTTGATTGCATAACTATTCTAACCTTGGGCACTGAGGTAATTCAAATTTCCAAACAGAGAAAGAAAAAACAGTTACATTATAAAATTTGCTAAAATCATAAATATGCATACAGAACAGAATCAGCATATTAGGAAGAGTAATATAAACTGAAATCTGCTAATTTAATTTTATGATAAAAATCCCTGTAAAAAAGACAGCTTTTCTTGTTAGTGTAATATTAAATTAGAAACTACTTTTATCTATTGTTAGGCCAATAATGGGAGTCACTGCTCAGGCTCAGAAACAGCAACAAAAGGATGGAAGAAGGTGCATAATCAACTGTTTAGACAGTTTATTTAAAGAAAACGAAGTAAATGATAATGAATACTTGAAGCTGGGTTCCTGTCTGAATCAGGAGCTTTTATGTAGAACTCAGCCTTGAACTTTTGAAGCATCTGTGGAAAAAGTCACTCTGGGGCAGGATATGAGTTAGCAACCAAATCTGCCACACCTCCACATGCTACCCCTCTTTAAGTGCCTGAATTGATTACAAAACACCTTTTGAGAAAAGGCAGGAAAGGCAGTAAATTCAAAAAGGAAAAATTGAGAAATGTAATGCCACGAAGAAGCTAAGGTAGCTATTTCAGTGCTAAAGAAGTTAAACCTGCGCTCACAGTACTAGACACGGTGCCTGTGTCTTCAGTCTCTATTAGGGAAAAAAAAATTGTAATATTTTTACTTTTAGTATTGTATTTTTTTTATCTTTTTTTTACAACAATTTTTAAAAAGTCACTGCTTCATTTATTAAAGCTTCAATCACAGTAAGGCTTGCAACAGCATATAATGCTAAGAACCAAAGAGCTTTAGAAAGTTTCAACAAACTGAGTCACTGTCGCGCTCCTGTGATTTTGAGTTTTGTAAAGATTAGGAAGAAGTGTTGTCATTTCCTCTCGCACCTAAAGGTTTGTCAGGAGAGTACCAGTTTCAGTCTAAACACTTTAGTCCCTGGATACAGGCCAGATGAAGAACTACCAATGTCCAGTCGTTTGGTAGTACTTCATGACATTTATGCTTCAGATGAACCTCCAGGTAATTTGTAGGATTTATGTAAATGGCTTTCATCAGTTCCCCTACATGGGGGATTAGTTGGCTAAACAAAAACTAGCTAAAGCTCTGGGTTAATTACTCTATAGAAACAAAAAGAGGGTAGGGGATGCAGAATAACTATGTGTAATATTAATTGAAAGAAAATTACGAATAACTCCATCCATCCATCCATCCATCCATCCATCCATCCATCCATCCATCCATCCATCCATCCATCCATCCATCCATCCATCCATCCATCCATCCATCCATCCATCCAAATGTAGGGCTGAACGATTTTGCTAAAAATCTAAATTGCAATTATTTTTCCCCAAAATTGCGATTGCTATTTAATTTCAATTTTCCTTTGCACTAGCTTGTAGATTGTTCACCAAAGGCTTTGGTTATTTGAGAGCTTTCTTGGCCAGGCTCCATTGTTACAAGACTTTACTGTAACCATTGTGTGAAAAGGTGTTTACTTCTAGTTCCATGCATGAATCTATGTGCTAGCTGCAAATCTCTCTAGCTTTTTGTGCAGTGACAAATCCACTTCAAGCATTTAACCACCACCCAAAGGGCTGGAGGAAGAAATGTAATGTTCTGCTCTTGTCAAATATAGTGTCATTAAAAATCAGTGCCTCTGCATGTTGTTGAATTGCAATTATATTGCAAATGCAATTAATTGACCAGCCCTAGGAAAATGATAGTAATACTCACCCCAAAAGGTTCATCACAGGTTAACAAAGAGATAGACAGGACAGACAAACATCCACACACCCTCACAATGTCACCCAACACCCATACCTAAAAGGTATGCATTTAAACTGTGGAATAAGACCATAGTACCAAACAAGAACCCAACCACATTTGACAGGACCATCAGACTTGTAGGATGACCCTAGGAAGGTATTCACCTTCTTTCTGATTAGCAACATTGTAGCAACTGTGCAAATGTGTTGCCAAATATCAGACTTAAGGGAAAGTATATTAACAAATGTCCTTTTCTTTTTATTTTTCTACTTTCTGCATCATCCAACAGGCGTCTCCTTCAAGCAGCCAAAAGAGCCAATCAAACAGGTCACTTCATATGGGTAGGGTCTGACAGCTGGGGATCCAAAATTGCACCAATCCTGAACCAAGAAGAAATGGCAGAAGGGGCAGTCACAATCCTACCAAAACGACAATCAATCAAAGGTATTCAGTATTGAAGATGCCTGTTTTTTAATACTTTATTATTCTTATGGATTATCTTTAGATTTTGTGTCCTAAAGGCATAATAGGCTAGGATTGAGTAATATATGGATGTTAAGCAGATAGTATATTTATACATATTCCAAAGCCCTATGATTGCCATGTTGATTTATAGTTTTTGACCCACATTTAGAATCACATGGAGAACCAGTCAGTTTTTACGTTTTATTTAACAAAGCAGCAAAAATTTGGAAGTGAGAACTGCAGGAGGTCATTTGAATTTGGTTTGTCTGAGGGAGAAAGCAGGCTGACCAGGAAGGAGTTGGTTGGCTTTGGAGACTGTACCCCAGAGCTCCAGAAGAATGTGAGATCCAAGAGCATTGGTGAACTGGAAAGCGGACAGGCAGGTGATGAAGACTGAGAACTGCTGCACACAGGAAAGACCTTTTCCATGAAGATTTGAGGTGGACTAGGGTTTGCTGATTGTTTTGAACAGTAAAATAGTCCACATTAAAGATATTCACAAGAAGACAAATTTAAACAAGAAAGATTTTCCTGGTTTAGGCCTTTGAATGGAATGCAATAGGGGCAATCATACAGTGAAAAGAGATTATCCTCCACCTCCTTATACACATGATAGTCATCCTGATTGAAAAACATTGTCAGATGTGCAGCTACATGATTGGCTCAGCCACTAGCAAAGGTCCCCTCTGTTACAGGAAGCTCACTCATGCCAGAAAAAGCAAAACCCAAGAGTGACAATGATGGGCATACAGTAACATTTATCTGATCTCTTAACTAATATATAAGTATGGTACTTACTTCTTATTGTACCATACTGTATGTAGAGTCAGAAAACGTTTGAATAGATGACATTTAATTAGGCATAGCCACATACATTTAATAGCAATGATTTACCACATCCCATTTCTAAGCACATACAGTAGTTTGTGCTTAGAAATGGGATGGGAGTAGAGGGAGTAGGAACAACAAAATAGGAAATAAAAAGACATGGCACAAGTATAACCATTAAAAACCCTTTAATCAAAGTATTTAAAAAAAAGTATTTTTGAAGAATTCTCCAGTAATATTTTTTCATGTTCTCACTTGATTTTCAGCTTGTCCCATCTTGATATTAAGTTTATGGTTGGTTTCTGGGTCACAGTAGTTTGAAAAACAGAGGAGACAGGATTAGAGGTTTAACATGCCAACATATAATAGAAAATGCTAAAAGGTTTTACGTTTTATTTTTTTTTAATAAATATATAGTTATAGTAAAAGTTGATTCTACTTTTGGTTTGGTTTGGTTTCTACTGTTTTATGTTTTTTACTCTCAGGTTTTGATCGGTACTTCATCAGCCGAACATTAGAGAACAACCGACGAAATATCTGGTTTGCAGAGTTTTGGGAGAACAATTTCCAGTGCAAGCTTAGTCGGCATGCTGTGAAGAAAGGATCTGGCATCAAAAAGTGTACAAGTGAGTTTTCAAATAATGGATAAAGGCCTCTTGGCCAATGTAGAACACTCAATCTCTGACCAACTCTAAGCTATGAATACATTATGCCTGGGTGGGTTTGTATCAAACTTTGTGGCTTCACATTGCATGGATGGGTTTATTTTATCACTACAAAAAACAGTTATATTCTTCTTCTATTGGAGGTATTTAATGAATGTAAATAAGTGAATTACAGTGCCTTATTCCATAAGAGAAATTAATGTTCTCATTATTTGTGCTGACTAGCTCTATTTGAAGTGTTGCCAAATAGCAATCACAAAAATAGGCTTTTGCTTTCCGTGAAAAAAATCAATAGCATAACCAGTCAGCTCATTAGAAAGAAACTTTCTCGTCATTAAAATCAGTAGATTCTTCAGGCTTGTCTCTGATCTCACTGTGCATTGCACCACTGCATCTCTAGTACTCCAGGGTGACATTAATCCTACATCTGGGCCTTAATAAGAGTCTTTGATGCAGGGTTGTGTGTCTGAGTGCTGTACAGAATCACAACTATTTTAGTATTTTGAAAGAGAGGTACTGGACATTTTTGGTCATATCAAGTACTCCAAGTTTCCTCTATATCCTTTGTTGTGATTACAACCAAGACCAACCCTCTAAATTTCCTACTGTGGATTCTGCTCCAAATTCCATTTGACCCTGATGCCGTGCTGCTTCGGCCTATTCTTTTAAATTGCATGTTTAACCCAAATCAAGGGCTGTGCAAATCCTTTCTGGGGAGAAGAATGATCAATCAAAGTAATTGGTCGACCCTGTGCAACTAAAAAAGGCACATACTGTAGAGGCCTATTAACCAGTGCTTTAAAAAAAAAAGAAAGAAACTAGCATTTAAATTTCAATGTAACACCATACTAGTTAATTGGAGAAATTCAAATGTTTTGTTAATCTAAGCTAAGCTTTGATATCCCTTTGGGAAATTAGTTAAGTATTACACCTCTCTGGCCACTGCCATGACCACACCCCCATGACCATATCGATTAATTCATAAATCAGTCAAAGGTCTATGGAGCGAAATCAGTGAAAATCAATTTTCACAAATACACATATGTGATTCATGCATGCACAGGGCAAGCTCCAAACACACACAGCATGATTCATGCAAGCACAAAAAATCTACACACACACAGTACAAGCTCCACGCATACACTGCACGATTCACACAGCACAAAAATATTCACACACATGCAGTACTAGAACCACACACACACAGCACGAGTCACGCGAGCATACAAGATTCACACATGCACAACACATGATTCGCCAAAGTATTTCTGGTCCATAAACAATTATAAATTAAATTATAAAGTATCAGTGGTCTTTAAATTTCAATGCATTTGTGTGTGGATTTTTGAGACTCTCCTGATGTGCCTCAATACACAAATGCATTTTTTTAAAGGGGTTCGTTTGCAAACAATCACAGAGTTCCCTTCTATAAGCCAATCACAAGAAAGTAATCCACGTGGGATGACTCCGGTCCGGTCCGGTGTTCTGTCAGCTCAGCATACTGAGTCAGGCCAGCATACCCTTAGTAATACGTATTGCATACTTTCCTCTGTCTCTGCACCCCTTACAAGTACACTGTTGGATTTCACGATTTCGTCAGGTTTATATCGTAGAATCATTCACTAGGTTCGTTACACACATTAGGTCTAAAAACAAACATTGCATGTCCGTTAGATGAGATACTTATTAAAGAATGATCAGCATTTTTTCACAGTGAATTAAATATTTATAGGGAGAGAATTCTACTGCCCATTTAACAGGATATGAAAGTTATTTGTTTTTAGTTTGTTTAATATGAGCGACATGCAGATCATTTTATTTTTATTTATTTATTTTTACAGCGTATGAAGAACTACTGATTTTCAGTATACATATGTTACATGGTGTTCCTTTAATAGGTAGTAATACATTGCCAAAGGACTATTTTTGAACTATGGCTACATTTTGAGCAACAAAACATACTAGTGGCAGTAAGGGACTACACAGACCAGAGATATTTGGTTATAAATCAGGTTGCAGCTGTTTACCAAATCAGGAGAGAAAAAAACAATGCAGAAATCAGTCAATTGCATAACAACAATCATTTATCACGGCTTCATTTGGATACTGTTGTGCTACAGTAACAACTTTGATGACTATGTAACGTATAGCTAAGACATGGCTCCTGGTGCTGAGGGTATAAATTGGACTTATTTAAATTAATCTGAGTAAAACTGTATTCTGTATATTTAGAATTGGATTTGTCTTTGAAAGTTCCTTGATTGGACAGATATTGTAAACTGGTGTGTTATACTGTATGTTAAATAAACTGAACTCAACTGAATCATTTAAACATATTTTCAGAAATTTGGCCTATAATTATTCAATCCAGTTAATTAATGTGGACAGAAATATGCATCCTTGGATTGTCTCCAGAGGACCCGGAACTTGTAACAGGGACAAAAATTCTGCCTTGGGCTATTTTTAGGAGAAATCTGGGGTGCTCAGTTTATAATGAAACATGACATGCATGAATCTTCTCCTTCACTGCTAATGAATCTTTCAATCAAAAATGTCAAATATTTACACACATGTAAATTTTATTTCCCCTATTTTTTTTTAAATAGCCAGTCTTTATTTCCACTCCTTAGTAGCAGTCGAAAAGATATATAAAATGTATGACAATATTGGGTTCAATGACAAACACTGAGGTATACCCCAGTTATCCTTATTATTAGGGGAACACTTAATTTGTGAATGATTTCTGCTTATTAGTTGTCATGGTGGCGGCTCTTGAGCAAAATTGCTGCTGCCCTTTTCTTCCTTCAAGAAGCCCCCTGGGTACAATCATTTTTTAAGAGCAACCGGTACAATGATTCCTCTCAGAGCTCTTTGCCAGCTATGTTCCTTTACTTTCCTTTGTTCCATTCGAAAGCGCAGTGATTTCTTTCTCCCCCCATTTCTGTTAAGGCACATCAATCTGGTTTTACAACTCAGCTGCACTTGTTTATACAAAAACAAATTTAGAGAATATCTAAAATACAAAAATTTAAAATGTAAATGTTAATAACTTGTAAAATGGCTTGAAAAAAATGCTGCTTCATTTTATAACATACCTTTACCATTAATTATCAACTTTATATGTAACTACTAATGTCATAAAGATTGTTACATTTTGTGATATTTTACCAGTAGATTATATTATTAGAATATATTATTACCTCAAACTGAAAGTTGTAGTTAATTAATAGGTCAAAAATCGGGGGTAAAAACCAATTAAATGTTATTAGTTGAATGGCTATCAGCAGAGTTGTTAATTACAAACCAAGAAGAAAAGTGTCTCTGTCTATTCAAATGTTACCAAGAGGAGGGTGAGTCTGAGCTGAAAGATACATTTTTCGCTGCACAATAAACACAAACTGCTACAGGTTAAAATATTTATGTCTTTATTTCTAATAATCAAGGATTACGGCAAATCTAACATCATTGCAAACACTGCACAATACTAGAAAATAAACAAAAGGTTGATCAAACGGATAATTGGGGTAGAGCGAAAAAGGGGGTGTAAGAGTCCATTCAAATTATTTGTTAGGGGATGTCCAAGTTGAGCTAGATGCATTAATGCATAAATCAAATATCATTGCAGATGTGAATAACAATAAATGCAGTTAAACAGTGTTGTTTTGTTGAGCTTACAATGGGTAATGGTTCACAAATGCATTAAATAATACAGCATTACAGCACGATGGTTAGCTTAGATGAACTTAAGACCCAGCTAGAGGGTGGAACTTCACTGAGATAAAGGCTGTGTCGGAATGTCTGCCCTAATCTTGATATAGTATGGAGTTAGATCGGTCTCGATTTTCTCAAATACACATATGTAATTCATATGTGGACAAGCTAAGATCCACACATGCGCAGCACTATTTACAAACAGAAGATTGTTTGCGACCATTCACAAAGCTTCTTTGTATGAGCCAATCACAAGAAAGTACTCCACGTTGGATGAATATCCCCAGATCCCGCATCCTCCACTCTGCCCCACTCTGTTCCAGACCTCCTGTGCAAAGCAAGGCTACAATCTTTGTGGTTCCTTCCATGCAATCTATTATTATTTAATTCAAAGGAGAAAAATAATGCGGAATGAATGCTTAATTTAGTATGACATAATTAAATCTCACTATCACAGTAGATCATACAAGTTTCTGCCCAAAAATTTTCTTTTCATTGTGGGTCTTTGTAATAGGAATAATAATAAAAAATTGTTTTGTACTGTACTTTCTCTACCTCATCTCGTCATTGTTGCCTGCAATAAAAAGGTTTTTGAAGTTGTTAGAGGCGCACTTGGAAGGTGGTTTGACTGGATTTGATTAAACATTTAAGCATATCTGAATAAAATAAATATTTTGATGGAGATGAGAAATCTGCTTTCTGGTATGTTGAAGTACCTATCTTAGTTTTTGGGAATATATAAGAGTTATTCTCTAATTTGTATTTACCGATCTGTCGTTACCATGTTTTAATTTGACTAATCGGATCTTCTCGACATTCTTTTTCCTGTTTGGTGTGATTGCAATTGTGGATCTTGACCTGGCCGGACTGGAGCGGAGCAAAAAAATTGCTTTGCTCCATACAGTATTTTGACGGTGAATGATGGAGAAGACATACACAGACGGTGATGTGCAAATGAGTAGCAACGGATGTGGAACAGTTCTCATTGAGAAAGAGCACACAGCACCATGTCTGCCTGAAAGGGATCTGCATTGTTTATTGGCCTGCAGTAAATTTCCTCAAAGAGGCATGATCCCAGTCACAAGGGGGTCAGACTGTAAGCATGTGCTCCAGCAGTGTTTGTACCACAACATCTACTAGAGCCAAGGAATTAGTGTATGAAAGGACATCAGTACAGATGTATAATTCACATCTTAATGCTTCACCTAGTTTTCCTTATCCAACTGTTTTTTTGAAGGGCAACACATACTTTGTGCCTTGGTCTACATAATCTCCTCTAGTTAAGAAGTCATTGTAAGCATTAGCAGTGAACTATGACTATGACTAGTAAAAAGACTATACATTAATTCTTCACAATCTTAGACAGTATGTTTTTTTTTTGTCACAATAATCAGTTTTAGTTATAACAATAGTGTAGCAGTAATCAATCCATACAAGTTTCAGATGAGACCAGGCTGATAGAAATTATAACATGATAAAACAAGATATGAAAAAAAACTCAAATCCTCATGTCCTTTGCAGAACAAATTGATGCCTTTGTCAAAGCTACAACAGTCAAAAACAGAAATGGAAAGGGTGCTGGTGAAACAAGTGGTTCCCTCAGTGGTTTGTTATTCTGGAGAACCGGGGTGGATATTTAGGCGTGCATCTGAAATGTTATAAGAATACATCAGATTATAACTAATAATATTAATAATAACTGATAATTGTATTAAATAAAAGCAAGTCACTACAAAGCAGAAATACCTGGACTAGGAGTTGAACCCAGGACCTTCTTGCTGTAAGATAACAGAGCTATAATCTGTGCAGCTATGCATCCCTACATCTAATATATAAAAACGTTTTTGATTACACAGCAAACAAATCATTGCTTTGGAAAATAGTTTTATTATAGTTATGTCTTGGCATTTCAGGCCCATTTTCAGATGTTGGTTTCAGGCACTTTGGTATCATGCTAATCAATTCAGCAGAGTGCACAGACCGTGTAACAGTTTACATACTCATACTTTGTAACTGCCAAATCAGTAAACTTCCGATCCAGTGTTTCCTGTTTTATGCTGATAGCGCAAAGGACTGTGTTACTGTTTGTGTCTGAGCACAAGCAAAAACATGGATAAGCAACAGTTCAATTATACGGATGAATGGATAACTGTGCAGAGATAAAAAAAAAAGCTACTGCTGCTCATTGGATGCCCTTTAGGTAGACACAATGGTGTCTTAATTGATATGAAAGATTACATAGTCCCTTTTAATTCGTAATGCAATTATTTTATTTTATATTGTATAAAACTGTAAAGAGAACATTATTTTGCTTCACTGCTCTTTACTAGTAACTGTTGTTGCTATATTTTACCTGTAGATTATAAATATATAATTAACTAGAACTGGTGTTGTAGTTAATTATTTAAATCATTCAGGTTTAAAGCAATTTAATGTTCTTACTTGAATAGTTAAAACTATAATCTGTTTACTCACCAGGATTTTAGGCCTCTTACACTCAGGGTGGCTTCTGGCACAGCTGTTAAAATCCAGTTATTCTTACCAGTTTAGTGACTTAAGCTAGGCTATCAGGAGAGCTATTCATTACCAACAAAAGAAATATTGTCTCTGTTTATTCAAATGTCATTAAAAGAAGGGTGGATCTGGCATGAGTGATAAACCACTCGCCATACAAAAAGTACAAATGACTACAGGTTATAATAATGATATCTTTATTTCTGCGATCCAGGATTATAATGATGATAATAAGGACAGTTAAAACAACATGAATACATTCAGCTGAAAATGGTTAATGTTTACAAATGTATTAATAATATAGCATTGTAGCAAGGCGATAACCCTACATTCATCTAACCTAGCAAAAAGGGGGGGGGTCTTTCCTAGGTCCTGGCTCCTTTGACCCCTACTATGCAGTAGAAAGAAGGTGGAGCAACAAGCTATTACAAAAGGCGGAGGTTGGACTACAAAAATCCAGAGAATAGGTTTATGAACTCAGAAAATGGCTACCTTAACATGCGGGTACACACGGATAAAAAAAGGTGTACAGACCCTCAATCTCTCTACTACACTAACCTCAGGACAAAAAGGGAAACCAAGAAAATCAGGATGAAAGAAACACATAAACTCACTCACAGCCTATCACACCACATTAACTCACACCATAAAATCAGAGCTCTTTTATAAATGCTTTTAGATTAAACATCAGCATAAAGCAATAAAAGCTTTGCAAAAACCTGACTTAACTAGCTAGTTCACTGATTTCCTTCTTTATTAGCAATCTTGTATCATTACACTGCACTCCTGTTACTCTTTAAAAATAAAATCACATTCATCATATTACATTCTAAAAAGGGTATTTCTTAGGCAAACCCCATCTTGGAAGTCTTTGAATTGTCAATACTTATGTATATTTACAAGAAGAACCTTATGATTTCTTAAAGCTGTATTAGCAAAACAGGACACAAAAAAAGAATTTGATAAAATGCGTTGGACCACAATCATATGCAGAAATATGAATGTTTAAAGAAACTTCTGATAAAGCTATGTGTTTGTGAATTTTGTAATAGAAGAATCAAGTTGATAAATGAAAACTTGCTTGGTGAGTTATTTTCCAAAGCAGTAGAATAACTCAAGCCATGATTAATATACACATGTCATAACTAATTACATTAATGGTGAAGAATGATAAGCCTTGTCTGGCTGTGTCTTCCTCCCCTCTCATATCACTCTGTCAAGCTCTCTGCTGATGATTAATGGATTCACACCGGAACAAGGATTGATAGGGATAACAAAGAATGATCTCATAAACAAAACAATATCCCGTGTAATTTTCCATTTACAATTTTAAAGTATATGTAACTAGAGTTTATGACTTAATTTTAACCATGAAACCTGTCTTTACCAAGCATAATTATGTAATATCATGACAAACTTCATTGGTCATTTGCTTGGGAGCACAAAGAATTTCAGGGATGAAACCTAAAAAGTGTGTTTTGCATAACATTGCTTGGCTCTTAGTGACAGCCAAAACAGAGAAAGGCTCCAAAGGGAGACCACTTTACAATTGTAAAGTATTGTAAAGTAAAAAGATTTCTGAAAAGCTTATATTTTTGCTTGGTTTTTACACATCTAATAAATTATTTTCATTAATTAAATATCCTTTTGATATTTTTTTATTAAATTATTGTTTTGCTTTGATAAAGAGTACCTCAGATATGGTCTTTCTTTGTTTCCTTTTTTTTTTCATGTTAATGAATTTCTTTCAGACCATGAGCGGATTGGAAAAGATTCATCCTATGAGCAAGAAGGGAAAGTACAATTTGTAATAGATGCTGTGTATGCCATGGCTCATGCTCTCCATAACATGCACAAAGACCTCTGCCCTGGGAAAGTTGGCCTCTGCTCCAAAATGGATACCATCAATGGCACACTGCTTCTCAAGTACATTCGCAATGTCAACTTTACAGGTGTGTATTTCTGCTAATTCTAAACATTATGTGTGCATTATGTGTGCTCTAAGTTGATACTGTATATTCAACTATATAAGGCTAGAACCAAAATATTATAATAAATGTAATATCTAAGGTGTATGTGACATAGTCCAATTATTGCCTGTAAGCTGTGTTCAACAGTTGTTTGTGTGTTGGTACATGAGATAACCTGAACGCTGCACTTTTACCCTTTTTTTGCACACACGCATACTGATTCAGAGACTTTATAAAGATCCACCAGCTTTAAATGATCATGCCAGAGAAAGCAAAACATGAAAGACAGAGATCTGTATGAATCCTGACAATCACCCATAGAAGGGCATGTTTTATCATAGCTGATGATAAGCAGTAACTTTGCTTTGTGAGATTTCCTGCCTTATCTTGTCAGCATGGAATTGCCCACGCAAGAGATTTCTGACTTCAAGGGCACTGGAGGCTGAGTTTAAATTGTGCGGAAGCAAGAATAGGAAGAGACTTAGCTGACAGCATAACAGAAACTGCTATCCGTTGCTGTTCAGTAGTTTCACTTTGTAAAGAGCAAAAATGTTTTTATTGTTACTGACAGAAGCTGAGTGTAGGTGTGGGCATGTGAAGGAGTGTGCATTACACAGAGTGTTTAAAATTTTCTCTACACAGGTCTGAAATCTTTTGACTTTTAAATCTTCATTTATTTCTCAAAATGGCTTCTCATATCAGAGGCATGGGTCAACCACAATAGTTGACCCATGCTTCTGATTTCAGCAACATTAAGGTTTCCATTCTCTTTAACACTTTTTTTCTATGTCCTTAGTATGTCCTTTAGGTTTTCATAGCTCAAAACTTGGCCATGTCCTTAAGAACTGGTGCTTTTTAAGGACAAAGTCAATATATTTAGTGTTATTATAAACTACTGTATTTGAATGATCTTGGAATGGGCTGTGTAATGTACAATGTTTGCAGACTCAGCAGGTTTCCATTCATTTTGGGGTTGAATATTTCAATAAATTTTTTTTTCTTTCATATTAATAATTAAATCACTGTAGTGCATCAAAAATTATGATCAGAACTCATCATTATGACTATATTTTATTCAGATCAGTCTTAAAATATCTGTACTTGAACTCGTACTCCATTTGGAAATATCTGGCATCGGTGCCTTCCAACAGCATGGTATCACAGAATCTCTGGGAATTAGTCTCTTCTTCGGGAAGACAGAAAAGAGTAAGAGACCTCTTGCAGCCAGAAACACATTTTTATGACTCGGGAATTATTTATTGGTTAAAAAAGCAAATAATTTTTTCACAGTTCAGATTACGTAATAAAAGAACCACTTCATCTCAGCACTGAGAAGAAATTATGGCGCTCTGCCTCACCTCACTGCTTGCAGAGTTGGCGTGTTGTTAACTGGGCAGGGACGGTGCAGCCAAGGTAGGTGCTTCCTGGAAAGAGCAGTTGATGACAACTTGTTTTGGTCATTCACTTTTCAAGCACAATTCACATAGATTATTAAAACATGAATAAAGCAAAATATTCTATGGATATATATATCTATATATATATATATATATATATATATATATATATATATATATATATATATATATATATATATGTATTTTTTTTTTTTTTTTTTTTAGTGAAGCCTCTTGACTGTTTACATTTACAGACAAAACCACACACAGTGCGTTCTGTATCCGTATCAGCATTAAACAATCTTTAAATGTCCCTTAGCGGCCTGTTTGGATCAAATTATATATCTGCTCTAGCATGCCTCCACGTCCTCTGGACAGCTGCAACACTACAACACCAATTCAATGTCTGTCTAAGCAGATGTTACTTGTTTAATGGATAGACACATTTTAATTAAATTATCAATTAATGTACAACATCATACATCATTTGTTTGTTAATATCCCTACTTCTGATAATCTATAGAAAAGTTCAGAAAGTTTCTTCTGCAACTTGTAGAGCAGTGGTGTCCAACTCCAGGCCTCTAGATCTACTACCCTGCAACTTATAGGTACGTCCCTGCTCCAGAAAACCTGAATCAAATGAGTGACTCTACAAGGCCTCCACCAAAACTTATTGCATGGTGAGAAACTAATCAGGCATTTGATTCAGCTGTGCTGTTGTAACAGAGATGTTGTGAAAGGTTGCAGTATGGTAGATCTTGAGGCCTGCAGTTGGAGACCACTACTGTAGAGGCTTAAATCTAGTCACATAACAGCTTTAAAGACTATTTAGGTGAACAACCAAGTGAGCAGGTATGTTTAAAGTGATCAGATAATTTACATTGTCAATGTCTACTGAAACTTAAATCTGGATTACAATGTAAATTATAGTTGACAATAAATAAACTGATTGATTGATATATCTAAGATAACACTTAGACAACTATTTTTATTTTCAAAATTCCAAGGATACACAAACAGCATTTGTTTGACAGAACTCTAGAAAATGTCCCATTCTTACAGAAGGTCACAGTACTGATTTAAAATATCCATCACAAACATTTGATAATCAAAACTGATAGGCAGACTTGCCCCCCAAAACCTTCATGATCAATAATAATACAGTAGCAGCCATTCAAAATGTCCCATCTCCCAGTCAAATGCCAGCCGAATGGCAGCCAACTGGAGTGACCCCCTCCTTCTCCCGGGCATGCATTTTTTTTGCTCTGACTCCAACTTTTCACTGAATTACAGGGTCTGACCAGGAGATCTCTTTAGGTCTTAATATCCACAAATCATGACAGAAAGAATATTTTAGTACCAAGATCAAAGTACAAAGAGCAGCCAAGGACACATCAAGGAAAGTAGGGAAATTTTGAATTGCTACTACTGTATGTGTAAACCCTTCTGCATTCAGTCCCATTCTAACTAGTTATTGTTTTATTATTGCACCAGGCTTTAAATCAGCCACAAACCATGACATACGTATATCTTGCAGTGGGCTTACAGTGTTGTGGTGCTAGCTGGCAGACTGCAGTTGCATCAAGCTAGATTCAGAGATAAAGCAAGACAAGGAAAAAAACACAGCAGTCTCTTATTTCCTGGTTTAAATTGCAGAAATCTTTGTCACAGATGAAAATAGTCCACCCTATTTTCCAAGGGAAAATGGGCGGGAGGGTGCAGGGTCTTATTCTGCTGCTCAGATTCCAAGCACACCAAATTCTGTCCATTCTCACTTAGCCAGCCTGTCTATCAGTTAGCTGTTTAGCTTCTCCACAACAAGCCATCTTCCATACAAAACTTTATTTTTTTTTATCATGTCTATATCTCAAGGGATTAGCACCTCTTCTATAGCACCTCTCCTGCCCTCTGGAAGGCGTTACAGGCGCCTCTGTACCAAGACAACCAGGTACAGGAACAGCTTCCTCCATAGTGCACATCTATCACTTTTGAGCTCTGCCTACTGACATCTGAACAATCAGCGACAGAATGTATCCTCATACACACAACAATAACACAGATTTTATCCTCATTCACATAGTAATACATGTACAAAAAAACATTTACAACTACCTACCTGCACCTAACTGGTTCATAGTCTGTATGCATAGCCTGTATACGTTTATCTTATACCACCTGATGCAATGCTGGATGTATGCAATTTGCATTTTGTTGCTTGTAGTTGTGACATTTTGCAATGATACTTTAATAAAGTTTAATTTATTCTATTTTATTGTATTCTAATTATATTTAGCAAAAGCAAACAAATAACAATATTTAAAACATGGTAAGCTGGATCTTTATTAAACAAAGTCACTACAGCAAGATGAGCAAAAGATTATATACAGCTCCTGACTAATTAATTATACCCCCAGATGTAAAATCAGAGCTCCATACGAAAGTAAAAAGGGCACTAATGCAACCTTCTGCATTGTTAACATATAGAAATAATTATGCAAAATAGGGCACTGCTGTAATTCTTGTTATTAACTGCTGATACAAGTTGAGCTAATTAAGTGTCAGTTGACCAGAGGGCCATGCAATCAAGCAGAAGGCAAAACAGATGCTTTGACAAAGCTTTAAATTTGGTTCACCAACACTGATGATTACACAGTGATAGACATATTCATCTCAATAAAGTTAGAGAGCACAACCTCTGGATGAAGGGCATGCATATATGCATGCAGAAGTGTCAAAAGTACTTATAAGACTAGAAAAAGATTTTCAGAATAAAAGCATCAATTCAACTCCTTTTATGTAAGAGCAAAAATGCAATGTTCATCTTACATTGAAGTTTCAAATAGCATCGTAATTAAAATAGAACATGAAACATAATCAACATGTACATTTTAAATACAATAAAGGGCGAATTGATGAGGAATGTTTTATGTCTCAGAATCTGATTAATTAGCGTTATTGTTTTTTTGCTAATTGTCTGCATCCATGTCATTATCAGCAATATTTTATATAAAAAAACAGGTTCCAAATTTTCTTATCATGCTCTTTATTTTTTTCTGTTTTTTTGTAGCTGGTATATAATGTCATTATCAATGTGCAAAGTAGCAACAAGACAGTTTTAAGACAGTAAGGGAAAAAAAGTGAGGATTGCTTCTTCAACTTAGATGGGTAAAAGTCTTCAGAAAAATAAATAGTGCAGTAAATTACGGATACTGCAAAAAACTATCCGAACCACCTCTACAACCAAAACCTCCAGCCTGGCAAGGCAATAAGTTTACAGGTAATAATCTAGAAATGTTGTCCTCTATTATAAATTCTGTGTATAACTTAGGCATTTAACCTTACTTCTTTTAAAAACATGCTGTTTTGGAATTTCATGGAATTTTCCCTGCAAGAAAAAGAGAAAATACTTGAAAATATAATCTGATCTTGCATTTTTTTCAACAACAGCAGCTCACTGCAGTTACAGCACAAAGCAGTCAAGTAGGAAATTGGACTGCAATCTGTTCAATCAGCAAGACAATTGACAATAAAGTTTGATATGTGAGATATCCAGCTGGCTGTCCAACGGCCAGATTGTTGATTGATTGTTGGTAATAAAATGATCTTCCAGTCAAGAATTTCCCTGCATCACTTCAATATTTTTTTGACCTACTAAAACATATACAAATCTGTCAACTAATTGTTCTACATTAAAAAAACACACACCACAAATTGCTGATTGATAATATGATTATTGAACTAATCTTTACTTAAATAACTGAATGTATCTATGCATCTATATGTGGTGGCAGAAGTAAAAAAGCACCAGGATGAGTATAAAATTGTATTTAAATCGTCTTTGATTAAAGTTCCTATGGTGCTAGATATGCTAGTCTGAATATTTATAAATATTTGGATATATTGGACTTTTCAGTGACAACCATATGTTTTAAAAGAAACAAAGAATATATGGAGTGCATTGTGTCAATTAAAATGTCACGGTAATGTCAGAGGTTGACTCAGAAGACTGGTTTAAGCTAATATGAAAAGCAGCAATAGGTTAACAACTAAGGTTTTCAGATTATAATCTTTGAAACCACAAGACTTCAAAATTTAAGGGAGATAAATACCAACACAAGTGGATAACAACTGGTGCCACTCCTGCTATATAAGTATACATAACTCAAAATTGCTTTTAAAAAACACTGTGGGGGTGACTGTTTTGTAATGGCCTTCACAGCCACCAGATCACATTCCAATAGGGAGGACCTTAGGCATGAGATTAAGTAAATAAGTCAGGTCATGGATGTGCTATCATGCCAATGTGGAAACAAGGTAATGCTTTTATTTAATTTTTTTAAGATCATCTCATCTGTTACTTTTAAAGTGGAGGATGTTATTTTTCAGGGTGGATCATCAAAATTAGTGGTCCTCATAATTGTCAATCATTCTGTTGATACGTTTACATAAGGCCATCCTAGATGCTTATACCCATTTTCAATTAACAGGGGTAAATCTGACATAGCCAAAAAATTGCAAATCTTTTTTTTTGGTAAGCTTGTATGAGCGATGTAAACAGTAACTTTTTTAAACAGAGCATGGGTTAACCCACACCTCACCTTTAAGACAAACCTTGTTATGTTGCTCTAAATTATGTGAGGGTGATAGATGGTATAGCTTAAAAATTAAAAGCCAAATTCCTTACAGGAAAATAACTACTTGTCCTTTAATGTCTACCTTCAAAGACATTTTCAAGTTGTTCAAAGGGATGACACAGTAGCTCGATAACAACCAAGGCTATCTTTGCAAACCACAAGGTGAAGAAGATGCACAGAAAAAATTGAGACAATATCCAAAACTCACTGTTAGAGAGATATACTGGAATCACTAAATTTCCGTAACAACCATTTATTTTAGCGCATTTTTACCAAGGGGACTAATTAGTGAGGGGGGCACTGTAGTTCATCTGGCAGTGTATTTACCAACACTAAAATGTTTTTTTCCGCCCACATGCTATATTCTCTGCTATACAGTATAAATCCAATTGCTTGTCTGGCTCATAAAACTTTTCTGTGTTGAATGAAAACTGTGGCCTGGTCATAAAACAAGGAGTTTAGTCGCTAAACATTTAAACAGTCTCCTCCTGCAACACTGCAAGTACTCAATTAGCGCAATCTGTCAAGGCAATCAAAAACAAATCAAACATCAATTCCCTTTACTGCTGATAGGGGCGAATCTTTATAAATGCAATGACTTTCTACTTAAATTACAACAGGATAAAACTAGGGCATTTAAAACTCTGAGGGATTTCAATTGTAGCGTAGAGAAAGATAAATCTTCTCAAGAGAATAAATAAAAATGGCTTCAGAGATAAACTTGCATGTTTCTAACCTGGACCCTTGACTCTAGTAATCAATTTTAAATCAGTATTGATGTATTTTATATATAACAGCACATGCAAAAAGAGTATTATGTGAATATATCATAGGTGGGAAGTGATTCAATTTTTTTTAATCTATTTAATTACAGGAAGTGTAAATAGTTAATTGCTATTAATCTCATTTTAGTCAAAACCCATATGTTTACAAATTAAATAAACTTTTCAAATCAAAAACAAATTTGATCCTCAGTTGTTGAATAAAATATCATATGAGCATAGCAACAGATATATTTCTTGTATTTATCAGTTTTTTAGGGTATTGAACCATTGGATTGGTTGAAAGTTTAAATCATTTAGCTTTATTTAGAAACCCCTGATATTTTATTCAACTTCTTTCAAAAACTATTCGAAGTGTAAATACTCCCTATGAACATTCCATTAACATTGATTATAGCAATATTCCTTTCACTAAAATATGGTAAAAGAAAAAAAATAAATAAATATAGCAACAAGGCAGACAATATTGCCTGTAAACAGATCATTTCCATTTCTAATACTGACAGAACTGTGTTAGCTCTGCATAAAGCATTGCCTTTAGGAGCCTAACAATTGCTATTCAATGTACAGCATTTAATAGATTTGGTGCAAAAAAAGCCTGTCTTTGATTGGACGGTTGGTGTGGTTCATTGACATACAATTAAAGAAAGTTGTTTGTGGACAGATGGAGATGAGCGAGCGTAGTGAGGGCCGAGTGACCATGGACCTGTAAGGCCAAGCATGTGTTGAGTGTGCAGAGAGGCGAAGTGGGGACATACATTTTGTTAAACAAGCAAAGAAAAGGAGTGAAGCTAGAGCAAAGGTAGCAGAGCAGAGTTTGTCAGAGTAAAGCTTGCTGCAGACAGATTTTGTGTGCATTTAATCGCTGCCCATCTGTTTCACTGTACATTTTGACTGGTAACAATTGGCGCTTTGCTTTGTGGCAGACTTTACGCCATAGGTTTACAAGAAATAGGCCAGTACAAAGATTCCCAGCGTAGGAATTTAGTATGTACATAAGAAAAACAATTAACTGAGTTAATATATATATATATATATTTTTTACGCATTAAAGTTTCACCTGAAGGCAGTCCAAACATACAGCTCGACATTGAAGTTAAACATATGCTTTCCTTTGTTCTTATTTTCTTCAGGAATTGCAGGTACCCCTGTGATCTTCAACGTGAATGGAGATGCTCCTGGTCGCTATGAAATCTACCAATACCAGATTAGTAATAACACAATGGAATACAAGATCATCGGGCACTGGACAGATCAGCTCTACCTAAATGTATGGATACTCTTATGTTTTTGTATGGTACACACAGCATTCTTTACGTAAGCCGGGCTTAAACAGTGCAATTTTTTGCGCTTTTTGGGGTGATTTTCCAGTTGTGCAAGAATTTTTCAATCAGGCCGACTTCAGCAATTAAACATGTTTGTTTTTCTCCCGACCGTCATGGGCAAATCGCTCACTGGGCATGCGTTAACAAGGAATCTTCTTTTTCCTTCCTCTTCTCAGATGTACACACATAAGCATGGCGGGGGTGCGGGTGAAATGGAGTTCTTTCTGTAAAATTGACAGACTGTAGTAGTCCAAATACGTTATTGCCTTTTCTTTTTGATGGCTTTCAGCACAAAATTGTCAAGGAATCACATCCAGTGAGCTTCATATTCCTCTTCTACTCATTTGGCTTCCGTATAGACAGAGTAGCTCCATCTCACTGCGGAGCTGAGTCAGACGTGGTTTTTAGACGTAGAGTATGAGCAGGTAGATCGCATCAGAGCATCGGGCTGAACATGCATCATGAGCTATGAACCCACTCTTATGTAATTTTTATGTAATTTTGAAAGGGAATTGTTTTTTGTCTTTCACGGCTGCAAGATTTAATCATCAATATAAATATAAATTTGCATTTGAAATAAAGCAAAATGTGTGAAATAGTACATGCATCAAATATTTTTGCTATACTGATTAATTGTAATCCCCTGTATGAACCTGGGTTCTATATAGAAATCCTTGTAAGAAAAGGGTTTGTTTAAATGATACATGTTTGCTGGAACATTTTAGGCCTCATCCTAACTACCGGTACATAAAACATCTGTCTTTTCTTTTCTTTTTTTTAGACTGAGGAGATGCAGTGGCCTGGTGGAACCCAAGAAGTGCCGTCCTCTATCTGCAGCCAGCCTTGCCGTCCTGGGCAGCGCAAAAAAACAGTGAAGGGGATTCCATGCTGCTGGCACTGTGAGAGTTGTGACGGCTACCAGTATCAGGCAGATACTTACACCTGCAAAATGTGCCGCTTTGATTTGCGGCCAAATGACAACCACACCGGATGTGTTCCCATTCCGATTGTCAAGCTGGAGTGGAGCTCTCCTTGGGCAGTCATTCCTGTCCTGATTGCAGTATTTGGTATCATAGCTACTTTGCTAGTCGTTGCTACATTTGTTCGCTACAACGATACGCCCATCGTTAAAGCATCTGGTCGAGAACTGAGTTATGTACTATTGACAGGTATCTTTTTGTGCTATGCTACAACTTTTCTCATGATCTCAACACCGGATGTGTTTGTATGCTCCCTACGCAGGATTTTTCTTGGGCTTGGCATGAGTATAAGCTATGCAGCACTGTTAACCAAGACAAATCGGATATACAGGATTTTTGAGCAAGGCAAAATGTCTGTCAGTGCTCCTCGATTCATCTCTCCAGCCTCTCAGTTAGTCATCACTTTTAGTCTGATATCGGTGCAGCTACTTGGAGTGTGCATCTGGTTTGGGGTTGATCCATCACAAGCTATCATCGACTATGAGGACCAGCGTACAGCCAATCCTGAAATGGCCAGAGGGGTACTAAAATGTGACATATCAGACCTGTCTCTGATCTGTCTGCTTGGATATAGCATGCTTCTGATGGTCACCTGCACAGTTTATGCAATCAAAACTAGAGGAGTTCCTGAAACATTCAATGAGGCCAAGCCTATTGGCTTCACCATGTACACAACCTGCATTGTTTGGCTAGCCTTCATCCCCATCTTTTTTGGAACTTCACAGTCAACAGAGAAGGTAAAGTTTAAAGCTAAATTTGCTAAATGCTTCTTGATGTTTGTCAAATCAGCAAAGGTACTTGTACATATTCTATGGAAGTTTGTCATTTGGACATCTTATGTTTTCATTGTATCTGATTTTGATGAAAATGCCTGCTTAAATTATTTTTTTGTATTTGATAACTATCATTGTGTTTGTGAATGCCACCACCATTCATCACCAGCTCCACAGAGGGACTTACATGGTTTTTAGAGCAAGATGTCAGGATGATTCATTCACCTGGAATTATCTTTAATACTTGTGTTTCCGTAAATATTGTCTAGTGAGAAACCGAGTCAGCAATCAACTTATATCCTTGCAAACGGGCATAGATGTTGCAATATTGGACAGAACCTTTGTAGTTGCTCGTTGTTGTTGCCAGCTGACAGTTAATCATGCATTACTTAGGACTACAAGTACTAATTCTGAGGTTGGAAGCACAGAGAGGAAAGGTTATATTACAACAGCAGCAAAAGCATTAGAATAGGCTTTGCACAGCAACAAACTTAATAGCCTATTGTTATTTACACAAATATATACATATATACATAATTTACCAAAGACACGATTTTTTAGCATAGCAACTAAAACCTTATGTTGCAGGAAAAAAGTTAAAATGTTTGCTTTCTGTCCTGCAGAAAACAATGTTGTATATGTTTTTCTTTTCTAAAAATCTTCTAATTGTATCAGTTTTCAGCAAACTCTAGCAATCACAAATAGCATTTTAGAATTCACAAACTACCCTATTTTTTTTTTCTGTCAACATTTTCCATATGGGAATGTCAGATAAACATAGAACAGCTCAGACCTACAGTAACCAGAAATGCAACAGAAGAGCCCTAAAAATTCATATTGGTTTCTGCCCTCAGCTCTTTACTGTCAATGTCCCAGTGGAGCAGATTGACCATCATGTCCAGAAAGATTTATGTTAGCAACTCCTATGAAAGTGGACAAGGGTCTTGGCTCCCTTTAGAGAGCAACTTCACTCTATACTCCAGAGGGCTGGGAATATTGTTTAGGACTCACCCCAGGGCAAAAGTAATCTTCTTGGGAGATTACAACACTTTGCCCTCTATCGCCAAAAAGTGCTCCTGTGTTTTTTGCAGTATGATGACATACATGGATTTATCACTTGCAGCATCTTGTGTCCTCTTTTTTTTTCAGAAATGACAAAAATCTCAATATGGCTTGCATTTGAAGAAGGAAATATTTTTACCAGAATAAAAAAAAATCATAGCCCACTAATTTAGGCTGTATAATTTACTCCAATAAATACATTGAGGTTACTGTTAGCCTTTGCTGGTTCACGATGGCATCCATGTCAATCCAATCCTTAATATGTATTAGAATGGCATACAGTTCTAACATATATTATTGTGTGGTCTGAGACACCTTTGAGCTATTCCTATATCAAACAACTAGTTTGTGATGTTTCAAAATGTAATGTCAGTCAGAACCTTTGTCTATTTTCTAAGGAGGATTTTTTTCAGCTGTGGTTTAATATACATTCAATACATTTTTGGTTGTTGACTTTAGAAAGGTTGTAATGAAAAAGGAGGAAACTCAGTTGTACATTTATTCCACTTTTCTTAATCAGATGTACCATAGAAACTTGATTAGCCACATAAACAGAACCTATACATTCTATAACAGAAATGCTTCTAAATGACAGATAGTCTTTGGTCTGTCTTAACTTTAAGTTTCAAGTCAAATAGAATTCTTAAATTATTTGCTAAATTAGAATAGATATTTTCTTTGAACTTTATTGAAATTGAGAAGTTTAAATACATTTCAACTTGGAGAGTCTCACATGGAGAAAAAAAGCAGCAATTAGAAAGTTTTGACAGGAAGACATACAGTAAGTCTGGCAGAAGATATTAGAGCTGAATGCAGACGAGCTGCATAAGCAGGAAGCTCTAGGATAGAGACGTCTTTACCACCTGGAGTCTGACACTGCTAGTAGAATGGTTTTGGAAGTTTAAATGCAGTCTTGAATCATTCATGGCTGAGGTGCAGACATGCAGCTGCATCAATACGCTGGATCAGGGACACAAAAGAGGCAATTAGTTGGCAGATAAGTCTTTCAGTTGAATTTATGCCTAGGTTTATTTTCAACCTGGAGAGACTCAAATGCAGAAAAAGCATCAATAATAAAGTGTTATTCTCTCATAGACAAACAAAAGTCTTTGGCACTCAGACGCCATTACAGGATGCCGGAACTGAATGTAGTAGAACTATGTTAGCAGGTAGATTTAGGTTAAGGTGACTAAAAAAGGTCCGCTCTGATTCCAGACGTTTCTACCAAATCAGCTCATATCGCTGCATTGCAATAGTTTTAATAATATTCTGAAGTCTCTGCCTCCAGTGAAAACTCAGTCTCTTACCTTCTCCCACTCTGCCCCCCGATTTACCCCTACACTAGATCTATTAAAGCTAAATGTTGCCAAATTGAGTTACTCCAAAGAAAAAAGATACTTGGCCGATAAGCTTGAGCAGGGTGCAGTCTTACAGTTAAATTTACACCTAGACTTCATTTCTTCAGTGTTTGATTGAATTAGCCTAATAAGTGTACAGGTACTTAAGTTTTCATAAGTATTACCATCAGGGTTTTGTGATTGCCTATCCAAAAACATCTACTTATTTTGGTGGAATGATGTTGATTATTTTGTATTTGCATCATCCATTTCTGTTTTTTTCTGTTGTTGTTGAGATGCTGCTTAAGCATCATATTTTATCATAATTTCTCTAATGCTTTCTATTTTGTGCAGTGCACAATCCTTCACGGAGCACAAAATCTACACATAATAATGCATCCACCTCATTATTTTACAGTTTGGATGACATTCTCTGACTTACAGGCTTTCTCCTTTTTCATCCAAGAGTTATTCAAGTCATTTTGGTCAAACACTTCAGTTTTACTTTAATAAAAGGACAGGACATGTCTTTTGTTTTTCCTATTGGCATTAGAAAACTGAAGTCTTGCTTAATATTTGTGTGTATGTTAAAATGTGCTTTTAAAGAACATCTGGAAAAAACATTGTCTGAAAATTCTTCCTCATTGTCATAACATAAAAAAATTACATCTAATGCAATATCGAACCAATAGAGAAAGAAGTAATGTTATTTAGGTTTTATGCAAGTATGTATATGTTTCTTTATCTTGACTTTTCAGGATATGAATATATTCTCAAATGGAATATTTTTTCTCCCTTTTCATATTCACATTACAGATGTATATCCAGACAACAACACTGACTATCTCTGTCAGCCTCAGTGCATCAGTTTCCCTTGGAATGCTCTATATGCCCAAGGTCTATGTGGTTCTCTTTCATCCAGAGCAGAATGTGCCCAAGCGCAAGCGCAGCCTGAAGGCTGTGGTCACTGCAGCCACAATGTCCAACAAGTTCAACCCCAAGGGAAGCCTGAGGCCAAATGGAGAAGCCAAATCTGAACTCTGTGAAAGTCTGGAAACACAAGGTTCGTAACACACTATCTTTGGTGTCGTAAAGACATAAAACAGGTCAAATACATCTGTATAAAGCGGATTTCAAGCAGAGGCATGTTCCGTGCATAAGTATAGCTGAATGTGAAGTACCTTGGACAGTATTCAAACCCCTTCGCCCTTCTTTCTTACAAAGTAGTACACAATTGTGAAGTGGACTTTAAACCAAATATAATTTTTAAGATTTTTACAAGTGAAAATCTAAAAAGTGAGGGATGCATTTGTATTTAGCCCCTCTACTCCAGTAGCTCTAAATAAAGTCCAGCACAATGAATTCCCTTTAAAAAGTCATCTAAGTAGTAACAGGCTGCGTTTAATTTACTTACAGTAATATTCAGCATAAACAGCATGTGGACAACGCCACACTACACAAGGAAGCAGAAAACACAGCCGCTTACAATTTTCAAAGGCTCTTCATGCCATTCAAGAGCCACAGCCATTTCTATCCAGGAGTTTCTCCACAAAAGAACTGACATGTTGAATAAAAGATATAGCATGCACACACAGTACTAACTCTTTCCCACGAAATACTTATTTGGAGCCTAATTGGTATTACAAGTACTTTACTCTGTTCCTTCCCATATCTTCTCAATATGCCCCACATTAAAACAAAAAAATCATTCAGCAGGTGCTTATCACTTTATTACAATGCCTTGTGGACATCTCACCAGTGTTGTTTTTTTACAGCTATCTTAGATTTAGTCTTAGTCATAATCTTTAGGACAAAAACTGTTATAAGTCTTAGTCATATTTTAGCCATTACAATATGTGATAGTTTTAGTCGGTTTATAGTCAACTAAAATTTAAAAAGATTTTAGTCTAGTTTTAGTCAGTTTAATGTTGCAAAAAATGTTAACCTTTACAATTTAGAACAACAATCAGATTCTTTACCGGACTGACAGCTCTAGCATAAATACTACAATTGCTGGAGAAACAATGCTGCCGTGCAGTTCATCATTGCGCATTGGGCAGAAAACTTTGATTTATAGAATTCAAATAAACTGTTCTATGAATTAATGCCCTACTTTATAAAAAAAGTGTCTCTCAAGAGCTGTGAAAATAGCAGATCTAGTTCAACACAGCATCTTGGTTAATATAGTAGATAGAAAAGCCAACAAAATGTACAATAAAGGAATGGTTTTAGACATACAAGGTTAACTTCCAGATCTACTATGAATTATGCATTAAACACAGATCAATCAATCTTCATTTCCCCCCAAAAAGGAAAGAACAAAAACATTCTTCATTCTACTTTGGCAACTTTGGCTTTGTTTCTGAGAATTTCCCCTTTATTACCACTGTTCAAGGGTCAAAGTGGATTTAAATTCTAAGGGTTTTGGATATAAACAAAATAACACCCAGAGAACCTACATAATTGCCTTGTAATGCCATGGCAATCCAGACCTAAATTGAATGAATATGCTACCTAAAATGTTGACATACTGTATTTAAAGGAAACATGGAAAATGCTTTAATGACAACACCAGGAAACATTTACATCATATTTAATCAGCCACATATCGTTTATTAAGTAGGGAGAGCAGGAAGAGACATACTGCTCAGTGTGGAGCATAAAGCGAGTCTGAGCTAAGCTGTGCAAAAACGCATATTTGCACAAGCACAGCTGGAAGATCAGAGTTTTTCAGAGTTGAGTGCGCATTCCGGCTTATTTTCTCCCCTGCCACTGCTGCCATGGTCATTCTGTGGTCATGCAGAACGTGCACCGCTGCACGCCAGGTGGGCTGTATGTCCAAACAAGACGCAGTTGCAGCTGATACTGCTTAGCTTGTCTAACAGATTACATCACAATGATGCTTTTTCAACGTCTGACTGACCACCTGCTAATTCTTATTTAGTCTCACATCAATGACTAGTCATGTTTTCGTCATCAAAGATCCATGTTTAGCTCGTCAGTTTTTGTTATCGTGATGAAAAAAGGATCGTGTACGAAATAATTTCGTCATTGTTAACGAAAACAACACTGCATCTCACTTAAACTTTGTTGGAGCTGCAGTCTTGCACACATGGGACTTATTTAAGAAGGGCTAAGAGCTTTGTATTTCCTGGAAACAAAGGTTTTAGTGAGCACATTTTTTTCCCCATTTAATTTCTGGGGCACTGTACTAAAGTGTTAAAACATTCTCTTGATAAGTTTGAAAATCTACAAGATGATTCAGTAACAAAAGTTGTGTTTTGTACTAATTCAGAAAGGATTTGTTAAATTTAAAGTGTGAGATCATGCAGACAGTATTTACATCATTAATGGGGGTACAAAGATGCCTTGTTAATCAGAATCTTTCAATTCATAAGATATGAGTAGGCAGTCTTAAAGCTACAGTGTGTAACTTTTAGCGACATCTAGCGGTCAGACTGCAGCAACATGAACATCCCCCCCCCCCCCCCCCCCCCCCCCCCCCCCCTTCTCCCCCCCAACAGTACAGCGAGCGTTACGGGACAAAATGTCTTCCACGACGTCCGCATCATCTACCTTCTCAAGTGATGAGGTTTGTTTACATAGATAATTTTACAGATAGTATTTCACTTGTCTGTGTAGGGTATAGATTTCATGTAGACTTAAGATAATAAATATACCCGTTATTTTTTCTACATCGTTGTGACGTTTTGGCGATCTCGCAATCGCTAGTTTGTTGGCTCTGCGCTGCCGTAGCGCAAAGATGTCTGCCTCCATGGCTGCGAGACCCGCTCCTATGTAATTATAAATAACGAATTCTAAGGCAACGCAAATATAAAGGTTAAGAGGCTGAGCTCGTAGATGATGATAAATAACATAGTTATGTATAATATATTACATTTCTGACTGAATATCCCTGTAATTATTACCCACTGTAGCTTTAATGTAGGGACAGACTTAAATCCAAAAAGTACTCACATTTGGTTTGATGACTGAACGTTCTAGTTTTATGCTTTGACACGCTGTATTGCAAATAGTGACGTGTACTAGGATGACAAAGCCTGTATCCACACTTGCATGGACCGTTTTTGTGTGTCTAAGAACAGAGTTGTTTCATCTCTATTTAATTATAGAACCCATTTGCTGGTGAGGACATTTCCACTTTTGAACTGTGAATCTAACAATTGCTCTTTGTGCTTATATGTCAGACTGTGTTGAGGGAGGGGATCCTTGTGAGGGACTTTAGACTCTCAGGTAATGAGAATAGTTAATGACTTTGCCCTTTTTTTTTATTTGTGACCATATTTCTTCTCTTAATTTTCACTACCTGTAAAACACTCTTGCCTGCTGAAATGCACACTGTGTTGAATGAGTTTTGGCTATTATGCAGCTCCTGAATAACTCAAGGCAGTGATCACACTCTCAAATACAGCAGAAAAAATAGCTAATGAACATGTCAACATTTTTTCATTATATATCTTTCTAATGAGGTTATTGGCACGAAGCTCACACCAGATGTTGGTACCAGCCCAAGTAATTCGCACATACAGGATAATATACTCAAATAACTCAATGAGTTAATAAATTAAACTAGAAGAGGAAATTAATATTGTGTTTGTCTACTGATATCTATTAATCTTTTGCTAGACATGTAAGATGTCCCAAGTGTACAGGTGCTGGTCATAAAATTAGAATATCATGAAAAAGTAGATTGATTTCAGTAATTCCATTTAAAAAGTGAAACTTGTATATTATATTCATACATTACATACAAACTCATATATTTCAGATGTTTATTTTGTTTAATTTTGATGATTACAAATGACAACAAATTAAAATCTCAAATTCATCATATCAGAAAATTAGAATATTGTGAAAAGGTTCAAAATTGATGGCCCCTGGTGCCACACTCTAATCAGCTAATTAACTCAAACCACCTGCAAAAGCCTTTAAATGGTCTTTCAGTCTAGTTCTATAGGCTACACAATCATGGGGAAGACTGCTGACTTGACAGTTGTCCAAAAGACGACCATCGACACCTTGCACAAGGAGGGCAAGACACAAAAGGTCATCGCTAAAGAGGCTGGCTGTTCACAGAGCTCAGTGTCCAAGCACATTAATAGAGAGGCGAAGGGAAGGAAAAGATGTGGTCGAAAAAAGTATACAAGCAAGAGAGATAACCGCACCCTGGAGAGGATTGTGAAACAAAACCCATTCAAAAATGTGGGGGAGATTCACAAAGAGTGGACTGCAGCTGGAGTGAGTGCTTCAAGAACCACCACACACAGACGTATGAAAGACATGGGTTTCTGCTGTCGCATTCCTTGTGTCAAGCCACTCTTGAACCACAGACAGCGTCAGAAGCGTCTTGCCTGGGCTAAAGAGAAACAGGACTGGACTGCTGGTGAGTGGTCCAAAGTCATGTTCTCTGATGAAAGTAAATTTTGCATTTCCTTTGGAAATCAAGGTCCCAGAGTCTGGAGGAAAAGAAGAGAGGCACTTCATCCACGTTGCTTGAAGTCCAGTGTAAAGTTTCCACAGTCAGTGATGGTTTGGGGTGCCATGTCATCTGCTGGTGTTGGTCCATTGTGTTTTCTGAGGTCCAGGGTCAACGCAGCCACATACCAGGAAGTTTTAGAGCACTTCATGCTTCCTGCAGCTGACCAACTTTTTGGAGATGCAGATTTCATTTTCCAACAGGACTTGGCACCTGCACACAGTGCCAAAGCTACCAGTACCTGGTTGAAGGACCATGGTATCCCTGTTCTTAATTGGCCAGCAAACTCTCCTGACCTTAACCCCATAGAAAATCTATGGGGTATTGTGAAGAAGAAGATGCAATACACCAGACCCAACAATTCAGAAGAGCTAAAAGCCACTATTAGAGCAACCTGGGCTATCATAACACCTGAGCAGTGCCACAGACTGATCGACTCCATGCCACGCCGCATTGCTGCAGTAATACAGGCCAAAGGAGGCCCAACTAAATACTGAGTGCTGTACATGCTCATACTTTTCATGTTCATACTTTTCAGTTGGCCAACATTTCTATAAATCCTTTGTTTTTATTGGTCTTCAGTAATATTCTAATTTTCTGATATGATGAATTTGAGATTTTCATTTGTTGTCATTTGTAATCATCAAAATTAAACAAAATAAACATCTGAAATATATGAGTTTGTATGTAATGTATGAATATAATATACAAGTTTCACTTTTTAAATGGAATTACTGAAATCAATCTACTTTTTCATGATATTCTAATTTTATGACCAGCACCTGTAGAGAAATTACACACACTGCTCAGATGGGATTTTGACATATTCTCCGACACGATTAACTTCAAATAAAGAAAGTTCCAAGGGGCTTCTCTATGGAAGCTTATCTTCAGTTCCTTGATTTGGCCTGGCCGTTCTAGCACCCTTATTCTTGTTCTCTCAAAACAAAACCAATTAAGTTGTTGTGTGATTGGGATTATTTTCATGCTGAAAAATCCACCATCTTCTCATCTTCAGATTCAGTAATTTATTTCCATTATTTAATTTTGCAGTTAAAAGGTCTTCTATTAACATGTGCTAAAAAACAAATACACAGCATGAGTATCTTACCACACATTAGTATTGTTTCTTTGAAATTATATCTATAATTATCTATCCTGAGTCCTAGGCCTATAGGCCATAAGTTAGTAAAAAACTTTGGATATTAACTGCCACCAATAATAAGCAATATTACAATTTAAATACTGACAGATTGCAGTTGTTTTCTTGGCTCTCTGAATGTTGAGGCATCTTTCCCTCATGTAGTTCTTTACATCCAATTCAGAGACTAATTTATTTTAATTTCTCAGAATGTTACTTGGATTGTTACCAACAAAAAAATTGAATTTCAGCTCAATGGAAAAGAAAAACATTTATGCACTGGAAACTTATTTCCTCACTGTATGTGGCCAACACACATGAGCATGAAAGGACAATATATGTGTATGTTTCTCTACAATGGCCACTCAGCATGATAAACCCAGTTAATGTGATGACACCACTTTTCTGAGAGCAGGAGACAAGCGATAGCCATGTTTCCCATGTAATTTGTTTCTGTGCTGACAAAAAAATGAATCACAATAACAGTGAAAAAGAAGACGAATAGGTCTGCCAGCTGCATTTTTTTCTGAACCGTTTATTCTTAATCTTGGCCCCACAGCACATAAATATTTAAATAAGGTTCATTTATCAATGCTTCTCCAGGATGAGATGCTTTGGATGAAATGGCAAAAATACCGCCTCCTATTCCAATCCCACACATGGCTCTGACAAATATAGAGAAGGGTTTACTATAAAGGGTCCTTCAATTTTTGTCCCCACTCGAACTTTCAGCTATTCACTGATTTTGATTCCCCAGATTACCATAACTGAGCATGGTCTTTGTGGTTGGCTTATTAAAACAAACATGGAACATCCAATAACACTTGCACATAAACCATATGAAAGGCATCACACCTGAAGAGCTCCGGAATGTATGGTAGCTCTGAGCAGATTTCTAAGGGAAATAATCTAAATTATAGTTATATAAATAAGTATAGCTTTTATCTGTTAATAGTGGTTAGAGTCCAATATAACACTTCCTATGGCTTCAAAATAACTGTAAATTTTTAAACTACAAATTTAATGACTGCTGCATGCTTGCTTGGTGCATAAAGACCTCACAAATCTTTGCATGCAGTGAAGAACTGGTAATTGAATGGCTGCTGCATTTAATGTTACTGTACTGCTGTGATCTGCCATTTGACCCCTTCTTTCCTCCATTTATGGTAAAAATGCTATATTCACAAAATGCAAGGCGAAATTTGTTACCTTTGCAAATTGTAACATATGGAGTTATGCTTAAATTGGTTTTGACAAATCCAACATCTTTACTTCTTCTTTTTTTATATTTATAATTACTTTATATTTACTACAGTATGTAACCATGACCGATATGTTAAAGTGTAACCAACCCCTCTCTTCTAAGAGAGGACTTTGCCATTTCCTATCAGAAACAATCTCTAAGGCTGATGTAGATCAATTAAAATCTAAATCTGACAGTATTTGTGTTAAGCTTTGTATTTTCCTTTTTAGCATTTGCAGATTATGTTTGGATTTTTGGGGGTTAGTTTGGCAGCATGGTATAGGGATAGGGATGGGAATTCATAACATATTCCACATTACAGTTGTTATAGACAAGTTTCCCAGCCAGAGCTATGTGCAGCCATTTTTATTGGTGTCTGCCAAGTAAAACTTGGTGAAACTAGTACGGCCACATTCAGGGATGTGCCATGCAGGATAAGCAGCTTATTAAAGAAAGAGAAAAAAATTACCAGATCCACCTGCTTTTCACTTAGTTTACAAGTAACCCATGTGATAGATGAGCTTAAATAGCGTTGTTGGCTGACGTCTCTGAGCCATATAAGTATGTTACAGTTCAAGTAGACCTGCGGCCCACTGGCCCTTCTCTGTGTCTTTAAGTGTGTGTCTATGTGCACATGTATGAACAATAACAATGGCAAGAAACAGTGCTATGAATAAAAAGAGATGTTTTTTTGTTTGTTTTGTTTTTTTTTTCTTCAAAATCATGTTGGGGTGATAGGGTATATTTCCTCTGCCAATAGGGCAGCACGTGCATGGTTTCCTCAAGCTTGGTCTGGATATGCAGGTGCAGCTCATACTCTCCACTTCTACTTCCTCCATAACCGCCGCCCTAGCGTTATGTAGAAATTATGCAGACATTGTCTTGATTGAACATCTGCCTTCACATAGAACAAACTGTGTTTTGATAAGCGGTGCAATTTAAAAGGTATTGAGAAGCTTTTCATGTTGTTCTGGCATTTCTGTCCACCACAATGGACTTAACAAGGTACGAAAATATGTTGCTGTTTTTAACATTAGGCCATTTTATCTTATTGTTCCCTCAGTTTAATATTAAAGCAGGGTGAGAAATTGATAAACCACTTTCTTTTATGAGAAATAAATTAGAATGCACCTATTTTAGACCCATTGCTACCCATTGTTAATAAATGCTGACTTTATTAGACCTTGTTGGTGGAAGTAAACTGGAATCTTATGAATCCTGTCTTAAATTATTTATCTTTGATTGCATGTCTGACATATTGATCTGGCCTATTTTCCTAACAGGTTCATATTAACAGTTTCTTTTACATAGTTTTCTCACCTGTTGCTAGCAGCTAAGATTGCAGAAATCCTTTCTGATTGGCTAGATATATGCTGAGATACTTTAAAAGTATTTTCATTTCCTCAATTGATATACACACGTTTGTCACTGTTGGATTAACATGAACTTAGACAATTAAGTGAACAGATAGTGGTATAAATTAAGACTACTGATAATGACTCAAATACTGCTACTATTACGATTAGAAATAATATTAGTAAACATTTAGGAAAATATATTTGTCAGGTACAATTTGTGTCTATATGTAATGTCCTAAACTAAATTCTTTCTTTCATTTTTATCAGAGATTCGTTTGCACATTTGGTTGGGGGAAAAATCTCCAGCAGTATAACCAATTAAAAAATTTCTATTTGCTTATGTTAGACTTTTCTTTATGAAAATGCAGTTTTGCAATAACACCCATGTTATCAGAATTAGTTCCACCTGTGCTTGGTTAATGAAGGCATCTATAAATAGTGTCTGGTATCAATCTGTCTCCCCATGATGTGGATTTTTAAAGTGTACCCTCCCTCGCCTATTTGAGGATTATCCATTTCATTTAATTTTTAACCCTTTGCTTTTCTCAAACATTTTCATTTACAGTGTTGGCCTCGAAGCAGACATACATAAGCTACAGCAACCATGCCATCTAAGACAGACACAAACTGAATGAGGGAAGCAAAGGCCTGCCATGGGAGGTATCACCTTTTTTTAGGACGTCACTCAATTTTGGATCAAGAACGTTCAAGCTTCTGCAACTTGGAGAACTTAGAAGAATCCTGGAAATTATTTACTTGGATGCCATATTTTTCGAAGATTTAAGGCTTGAATGCTGAATTGATAGTTAACCAGTATATTACAGAATTAAGATGGGAGTTGTAAGAGATCTTGAATATGTAGGAAATGTCCTCCTACACTTTTTAAGACAAAAGGGAGATTTGAGTGTTGACATTTTTGAAACAGAGAGGAAAAGGTTTAGCATGTTGTTTTCTCCCGAAGTGTATAGCACACATTTCTTTATAAAGCTGAATCAGAGTTTTATTTCTGTTTTTCTTTTTTGTTTATTTGTTTTAATTTTTTCTTTCTTTTTTTTTTTTTTTTTACCAAACTCTGTTGAATCATGAATATTGAATCATAAAAAACATGGTATTTTTGGTTACAGAAATCTGTGCAGTTGAAAGTTGCAGTTCCCTTCATGCCTTACAACAAAAAACTCAGTAATTCTCCATGAACTAAACACATGTGAAAAGCATAATAATGAAGCAGCGGATGAGCCCAGTTTGGTTAACTTTTCATGACAACAATGACTTCACGATGATCATCTCGGGAATCCTTCTGTACAGTCCCAAAGCATGCCAATTGGAACATCCCGTGTGCCGTGCTGTGTTGTCAATGTCTTTGGAATGCAACATTTTCACATCTGTTATTCACAGTGAAGATGCCATTTTGATCTGTTACCTGTTAGGTAACCTTCTGCCGGACAAAAGAACAATCCCATACAAAGGGTTGCCAAACTGAAATGCAATTACATATTTTAATATCACCATCCATACATTTTGGCAGACTTCCACATTTTCATCATAAATCAGTTGGTCCTTATTTATCTTGCACAGACAGAAACTCTTGACAGAACCAGGTTTTTGAGGTGGAATCTATTTCTGTACCTGTTTTTTCCTCAGTTAAGGATTTCTTGACTGTTTTAAGAAATAGTCACAACCCTTATCTCCGTGGAACAGAAATAGTTTAATTTAGACATCAGACAGTTCTCTGTACCTACATGATGGGTAAATCAAAATGGTTGGTTTGTTATCATTATAAACCCTAATATCAGTGCTTTGCACATGTTTTGAAACATAAACCTAATGATGGGTTGTAGTTGTGAAAAATAATGAATAGACCAGCATTAAATAATTTTGGTTTTGTTTTGGAATATTTTGCTGTCATTCTTCTTTATAATGGCCATTAGGGCTAAACAATCAGTGACATCTCAGCAATATCTGGAGGCAAATGGGGTTTACATAAGTTGACAACTCAGTAGTAATGTCAGTTTAGAGATATTTAGATCTTTCATGCTCAAAAATAACAAAAAAAAAATCAAACAAGAAAAACACTTTTTCATATGCATAATCACTTTAGACTTTCAAAGGTTTCCATAGTCCTTGAACATCTCTACATTTTTTTTGCGTTTTCACACTGAATTTACAAATCAATGTATTATTAAAAAATATTGTTTATATGTAGTTAAGAGATCCTTTTAAAGCAACAAAAGATGGTGCAAATGAAAAAAAAAAACAGAATAAACTATAAATCAAGCATATGTGAATATAATTGTATTAGTTTAAGTCTTTTCCAGCTTTTATGTTTTCCCTGTCTTGCACTTTTCTCTACTACTCTTTTATTTTCTGCTAGATAATGGTATTTTTATGTTTTACAGCAGATAAAAAATTATAGCCTTGGACTATTTGGACCAGACCAACTTCTTTTTTGAGTTTGCTGTGTCTTCCATTTGTTCAAACTGCAAACATGAATTATGGCAACCTTTCAACAGTGTCTTTCTACTTGCCACTCTTAAGCACAGGCCAGATTTAAGAAAGTATAATAGTGGCCTTGTCAACATAAATTCTATACCTTAGCTGTGGATCTACACAGCTCATCCGCAGTTACCATGGGCCTCCAAGGAGCTTCTTTAAATAATACTCTCTTCACTCTGTCTGTCAGTTTTGATTAAATGCTTTCTAATTTCACACACTTTAAACTTCCTGGCAGCTTTAGTCCTGACCTACCTGGTTTGGTCTCTAGTAATAATACTATTCCTGTGACAAACCTCAGGCCTTCATAGATGATATGTATGCTGATTATAAATTACATATCCACACCACAATAGGGTTTGTAACACTAAAAATATACACATTTTTTTTTTAGATATTGACCCGTTAGCTTGTTTTGGTCCACCACATGAAATTTCACGGAAAAAGACATTGAGGTAATAGTAACAAAGTATATTAAACTACAAGGGTATGTATACTTTTGAGAGGCCAAGTAAATCCATTGATAGCAGTCTGCCTCTAAGATGAAATATATAATCCAAAAAAAGTCTTTGTACCTCCAGATTACATTTTAAATCTATTTTTTTTAGCATTTCTGCCAACTAGCAATAACGAATTATCAAAATTCACTATCAATATTCTAAGATTATATGCAACATATATGCGTGATAAATAAGGGCCAGTGCCTTCATCCTGTGCCTCATACCGACTTCTCCTGCCATTCATTTTCTCACTGTCATGGTGTTCAGTGTATTCTGTTTCAGCGTAATTCAAAACTGGACGTGTACAATTTATAGTTATGTGCAAACTGCATTTCTGTCTTCAGTCTGGAGTACTGTATTTGTCATTAATAGTAAATCTTGAATTTGTTTCATTAAATGTTATCTCCAGCAATGCAAAAGTCTGTATGTTGCATGTCAGAGCTCATATGTCACACAGTTTGGGAGAAAGGCGTAATGTTCAAAAGGAAAAGTGCTGCAAATGATTCCAATTTAGGATTTTGATAAGTGATTTATGTAGGTACAATAAGTCTACAGTAATGCAGCAATGGTTTTCTAATTTTTTTGATCGAGTATTGTTTGTGGAATTGTTTGTGTTTGTGAAGATCAATAATTTAGTTTTCTTTTGCCACTGATACTTTTTTTTCTTTCTACAACACTGTGTGTGTTGTAAAATACAATATGTAAGTGCTGACTGAAATTAAATGGTAAGTTAATGTATGTTATTAAAATGGATTGATCATTTCTGCTTTATGTACTTACATATTAAAAAATATCTAAAAGTTACAGTGCCTGAATATTTATGAATTATCTGTATGAAAAGAAAAATAAATATGTGAAGCATGTTCATTTTTATACAATATGTTTCTAATAAAAGAATGTTTTGCTAAAACTGATTCTGTTTCTTTGTAAAAGTTATGTTGGCAAAATAACATTGTACACATAGGTAGACACATGTCAAAGTGCTGTCAGGTTTTGAATTTTACAGGAACACCACAAAGATGAATATATATCCAAATGAGAGGAATTATTTGAGCCAGTATACTTTTTGTATAAAGAGGGACTGCCTTTATTATTCATCTTATTTTGTGTAATGCATCACACAATAGAACCTCATCACAGTACTGCCACTACTATACTTGAGAACTGTAACGTTGCTCTTCGATACATACTCATCTTGACTTCAACCATAAACTGTTCTTTCCTCTGAAGTCAGAGTAGAAGAAACAGTCTGTGTGCCAAAATCATCCAGCCTTTATCCTTCCCACCACTTAGGACAGAACTTGGAGTAGTAATAGTTATCTTTCTAGTTTTAGTTTCCCTGTCTGTCTTTCTCACATGTGCAGTACATACAAATTTAAACTACACATACATTATGTTGGGCATAAGGTTTCTGTTCTGCAACCAGAGGGTTGACATTTTTAATCCCAGCTTCATCTGTCTCAGTAGTTGCCAACTAACTGGGTCAGTGGGGCCTGGTGGTGCCTGTGTAAGAGCTTCTGTAAGTGTGGCCAAAGGTAGTTTTGTTAACTTACACACAGAACGAAAGCCTAATATTCTCAGAAGCAAGGAGATTGCATTTGCTCTGATTATTGAGACGCTGTCGGATAGGGCTAAGGTTAGTGGGGGAGTCATAGTCAGTCCAGGGGTCATGCAAAGAGAAGCAGTCCATGGGGGAGAGTTTTTCAGAACTGCTAGATGAGAGGGGAATCTAAAACCAAGGCAAGAGAATCAGTATCAGGAGGCACAGTAACAGGGCAGAGGTTTCTAGAGGGACAGAGGAGGCAGATCGGAGGAGCGGGTTTGCATCATACGCAGTGTTGGGCACGTTACTTTGAAAAAATAATTAGTTATAGTTACTAGTTACTTCTTCCAAAAAGTAACTGAGTTAGTAAACTGAGTTGCTCCACAATAAAAGTAACTAGTTACTAGTAAAAGTAACTATTGTGTTAAAATGAGAAGGATTTTTTCCCCTTGGAAGAAGCTGTTGCGCCCCGGGGGCCTCCTCATCGGTTCTTTTCTGGGAGTAAGTTATTTACTACTCTTAACTCAAACTGGGTAAAACCATATAAAAAAGGACTATAAAAACAGGAGTAAAAAATTACAGAGTTTATTCCAGATCAGGTCATTACAGGACAGAGAAAAATGCTTAGAGTTTGCACAGCTGTGGTCTCAAAAATCACGTCCGCCAGCGTCCGGCAAAGTTTGAGCCCCGATGAAGGTCATCACCTGCTTCTTATAGCTCATGGGTCTATGTGTTGCATCATGTTGATGTTGAACTGGCCGTATCAGAAACTGACACGCCATCCATGTCTTGAACTCCATGCAGCTTGCTTCTATGCTTCAGGGTTGAAGATACAGTAGCTCTCCTATCAGACCGGCTCCATGATGTGCCCATATCCTGTATATTCTTAAAGACACGAAGGCTGTTCCGATTAGATGACCTCCGTACACACTGTGACATCCACAATGTGAAGGAAGGCCTTCTGCTCTGTCTAATCTGACTAACAAAATAACAATGCACATGATGTATAAAAGAATAAACCTAACAATTGCGTTACTTTTGCGTTTCTCACCCTCACCACCCGGCCCCCACCTTCTCGCCGTGTGTTTCAAAAGCCAGCTGAATAGAGTGGATGACAGAGACAAGTACCTGCAGAGAGTTTTGCATTTATTGCAAAATGAAATCAGGGGGGAACGCTATCTGATGGGCCTCTAAACCCCGTCAGATAGCGTTCCTGCTGTTTAACATGGGGGGAACGCTATCTGATGGCCCTCTAAACCCCGTCAGATAGCATTCCTCCTGTTTAACATGGGGGGAACGCTATCTGATGGGCTTCTAAACCCCGTCAGATAGCGTTCCTGCTGTTTAACATGAGGGGAACGCTATCTGATGGCCCTCTAAACCCCGTCAGTTCCCCTGTGGCGCGAGCACAGGGCGGCTGTTACGTGCCTTTAGCGAGCATGCACGTTTCCTGTTGCTTATGCAGTGAATCATGCCGCCTGCGCTGTGTGGAGATGCCGGGGAAACCGTATCTGATGGGGAAACGCAGCTCGACGTAACACCGGTATTTCCATCTGGAAAACGCTCTTTTGCTGCTGGAGCTCTCCTCACTCTCCATCTCTCTGTGTGTGCTGTACGTTAACACCCATAACAGCCAATTTCATCCTCCCCTCTCTCATGACAAGGCGCGCATGAGTCCTATCATGAAAAAGGGTTCATTGTGCGACCTGAGTAACGTGCAGTAACGGGTTGTCGGCAATGGTAACTGCGTTATAGTAAAATTATAGTTACAGTCAAAGTAATTAGTTAGATTACTCGTTACTAAAAAAAGGTAACGGCGTTAGTAAGGAATGCCCAGAGATCAGCAGCCAACAGTAGTATCTTAGGCAGCCTGGAGAAAAACAAGAGATAGGTCTATATCACAGGGTCTTTCTTGGTGCAGCAACTCCCAGTAAAAGTAGCTTTCAAAGATGTAATTGCTCAGCCCTGGTTGACAGTGCAGCAAAGGGAGCAGGAAGTGACGTCATATGACTATGCACAGCAGCTTCTGGGGCAGAAACAGACGGCAGTCCTTACCGTAAACCTCCAAGTTTGATTCTTGTAGCCGAGTTCTCCAACTGCTGCACACACATAGACAGGTCATGAGTGGCCAGGTGGTCCTTAATCTTATCATCTAAGCTTTGCATAGACCCAGCCATCAGAGCATCCTCCTTCCAATTACAGTCTGCTGCCATGATATGAAAATCAATTGTGTAGTCTGTCTAAGTATGCCCATTTTACCTGATGGCGCAGAGCTTCTTAGAAGTCCCTCAACTGGGTAGAATGGGATTATACACCAGAAAAAGTTATTTGATGAAAGAATCATAAAAATAGCAGATCCTAGTGTTCATGTGTTTTTCAACAGTGTCTCAACTTTTGACTTTGCCAGACGGTAATGATATTAAGAAAGGTACTTCGGAGAGTTCTGAGGTAAATGCATCTCATACTACATCAGAATGGAGTGGAAATGAAAAGTTCAACCAAACTAACTTAATTCACGAGATTGTTTTAGCTGAGTCTTTCATTGTTGAAGCTGGAGCAGTACGAAATGATTCTTGTGTGGTTGTGATTATTCAAATACTGCGAGAACTCAGATTACAAGAATAATATTGGATTCACTTCTGAGTTATGACATTAGCAGATTTTAAGTCAATCAGCTAAATTTCCAGATGCATAGAATGGAGTATGTTACAAATCCGTGTTGACCAAGGGTTTGTCTACAAAATTACTACTTACTCTAGTTATAATCATTATAGTCCCAAA